ACCCTGAACTCTGCAGCCAGGGTCTGGGTTGCTCTTCCCCCAAGTGCCCTTCCCTGTGTAATTCAGACATTTTGGTTACCTGGTCTTTTTGTCTACTCTGGCTAGTCTCTCAGCCCAGACTGCCTGTCTTCAGCTGCCTGCCCCCCCTCACACGCACGCGCGCGCGCGCGCACACACACACACACACACACACACACACACACACACACACACACGGTTCAATCTGGTCATGTCCATTTTGGACTCTCACAGATGTCTTTGCCTCTGGCTGTGCTCTAGAGTAAACCTTCTCCTCCACCATACCTAGGAGCAGCAATGTCCTTTCCCTTTCTTACTCTTATTTTTCATTCAAGTTTCATGTTATGCAGTGGCCTCTTCGGACATGGTGCGCACACCCATACCAGGTGTGCCCATCCATACAAGTATGTAAGACACCAATAAACATAAAATAATAAAATTGAGAGAGAGAGAGAGAGAGAGAGAGAGAGAGAGAGAGAGAGAGAGAGAGATACTGCACAAATGAGGTACAGGTCTTAGTTTCAACCAAGTTACAAAACCCAGGGTTTTCCATTACCCAATTAGAGCCACAGAATGTCAAAATTATGCAGCCAATCAGAATTACCTGCAACCTGATACCACAGTAGAGCCCTTATTTACATAGCAAGAATTGTTATCTGGGAAATGGTACCACAAAGTTGCTCACCCTAACCTAAGAGGACTCTTCCTTCATGAATAACCAGGGGCCCATATATTTTTCTGTCTGTGTGCTAAGATCAGTTCATAGCCTTAGTGAATGGCAATGGCTGGGATGTAAAATAAACAGATGACTTTTTTTTAAAAAAGGAAGTAGATACAATCCCATAGCCAGAGAGTCTGGGAAACAGAACCTTCATTCAGTGGCTGATGGAAGCAGAGGCAGACTCCCTTGGTTAAGTACTGAGCTCAACTCAAGAAAGCCAGTAACAGAGAGGGAGGACTGATGACCAAAGGGGTTAAGACTGGGATGGTTTAACCCCCAGAAACAGCTGACCTGACAAGGGTTAGCTCTTGAATCCCAGGCTGATGCCTGGGAATCCAGCATGGGACTGATCAAGACCCTCTGAATGTGGGTATCAGTGAGGAGGCCTAGGTAATCTATTGAGCCTTGGGTAGTAGATCAGTATTTATCCCAGGTATACAAATGGTCTTTGGACTCCCATCCAACAATGAGAGATGCACTCTCACCCTGGACTCTTGGGGGAGGGCCTAGGCCCTGTTCTGGATGAAATGACAGACTATGGACACCCCCATGGAGGGCCTCACCCTCCCTGGGGAAATGAGGGGATATTGGGGGGGTTGGGGGGAGGGCATGGGAGGAGGGGAGGGAAACGGAGAGGGACCTGGAACTGACTTGTGAAGCAACCTTTGATGGGGGAAGTCCTGTACATTTGTTAATAAAGCACTGTTGGCCAATAGGAATCTAGATGGGTGGGACTAGGAGTCCAGGAGGATTCTGGGAAGGAGAAACACAAGGGAGTTCGACATGTAACGCCATGGGGTAGGAGCTCGGAAACTTCTCCGGTAAGAGACATACTTAGATTAACAATTATGGGGTAATTACTTAAAGCAGAGCTAGCCAGTAAGAAACAAGCAAGGCCAACAGCTTCATAATTAATATAGCCTCCTGTGTGTTTATTTGGGACTGATGCGGATCTAGAACCAGGCTGGCGGAAAGGCTTCTCTCAAGGAAAAGCTTCTCTTAACAAACCTTGTTTCTAATTTAAATTTAAAAATAAATAATAAAAATAAGGAAGTAGAAAAGAAAAACAGCTTAACAAGAGAATGATAGCATCTTTAGTAAGAATGGGTAGTATAGGTGTGTCCTGGGACGTATTCAAACAGTCATTTCTTTTCTAATATTACAAATCCAGTTAGAGTGGCTTGTGAGTAAAACAGTTTTTGTAGGCTTTACATTTTGGGACAAATGTTTTATTCGCTTCTGTTCTTGTGTGTGCTACCCTGGTCACTAGGTTTCTGAATTTGTCATGAATGTTCTCTTGACTTGATGAAGTTTGATCTTACACTCTTACACCCAGAAGTGACACAGCATCTTTATAATATCATCTGGAACACAAGGAGTTTCTGTTTGTGTTTACCGTGGAGTTATTTGTGTAAGCTAAGCTTCTCTCTCTACTCCTACAGACCTTCCTGGCCCTCCCTTCTCCCACCTAGTTCTGGAACTAATAGCTTGCATCACCTTGTCAGGCAGCTTCTTGGTGTCCCACAACCCACAAATGCTTAAGTTCCTTTTAGCCCATTATAGAATATGCCATTCGTTTACGGGATTCAGGATGATGACTGAATTCTATCATGACATGTGCTTATAGAGCGAGAACTATTAACTGGCTGTCTGGAGATCAATGAATGTCTCATTGGAATTGGCAGAAAACACTGAGTGGCCCGACTGTTCAATGACATTTGATTTCCTAGTCATATCACGGGTCTGGGAGACCTTTGGACTTTGGCCAGGCTAAGGTGTAAGCATGGATCCCACTGGAGAGCAACTGTGCCTTTCCTTGCTGACTAGGGTGGAGTTTTTGTTTGAGAGAGAGATAATGTGGTTGTGGACAGGATGACTCGGCTCCACCCCTACTCTGGCTTTGGAGCTGACCAAGGCAACTATGGCAGACACTGCTGAGGTGCACAAAATCTTACTTCCACAAGATGGCACCCCATGCCTGGTGTGCACCTCCTCGATTCCTCAACAAAAGCACATGAAGACCTTTTGCCATAAGATGTCCAGGTACCACTCCTGGTTATGTGGGGACCATCGTTATACATAGCATAGAACTACAGTCAAAATGGAGTAATGTGATATTTCAGTGCAATGATTATTACTTATTGAGGGGATCTCATTGTGAACAACAAAAATTGTCATCTTCACATGTTTCCTTGGTTAGGAGAGAGAACACAATGAATTTGTTTTAGTGGTATGTTTGCATTTTTATAATATTACAGGAAAATAAAATACTTAAGAGACTGATATTGGGGTTCAAACTTCAAGCTGAAGAACAGAAAAGCAAAGTAGCAGGCCACTAGCTCTTACCACTACCTCAGGCTGAATGGACTGATGTTGCTGCCTCTCCTCAGCGTTGCCTCTCCTGAGCCTTCCTATCTTTAGTGTGACAGGAGAATGAATGCTCCTACTGAATACTGAATACCCTGCTTCTATCTTTTATACCCCTCTAGTGCTGGGACTAAAGGCATATATATGGTCTGTTACTCTTTTAGAATGATTCAATCTCATGTATCCCTGGGTGGCCTTGAACTCAGAGAGATCCGTCTACCTCTTAATCCTGAGTCCTAGGATTAAAGGTGTGCACAACCACCTCCTAGTTTCTGACTGCTGGGATCAAAGGTGTGTGCCTGGCTTCTATGGATTGTGGCTGACTTTGTTTTCTGAATCTTTAGGCAAGCTTTAATAAATCATATATAATAATCTCCACATTGTAATATTATCCTAGTGTTAGGAACTACTTTAGTTCTTGCCCACTGATTTTATTGTGGGAAAATACATACCATGTAATTGTTCTTTTTAGCTATACTTAGAATCCAATGCCATCCTGAGCTACAGAACATGACATTGGACAAAAAAAGGAGGAGGAGTAGGGATAGTACAGGAAGAGGAATAAGAAAAAGAAGGAAAATAGAGGGAGAAAGAACCACCTAACTACGTCACTGATTCTTAAATCATTTGAATAAACGTTACCATTGATTGTAACTTTTTAACTTAGTCAACTGTGAGAGGCACAGGTTGTATTGGTTAACTGTTACCAAAACTGCACTGTGTAACAACACTAAAATCAGCAGAGCATAGTCCAAATTATTGACTTAACGCAGGAAGTTGTAGGTCCAGCCCCTGATACAAGCTGTACTCAGTGTGCTATGTGCCTCTTGTTTTATCCCTGTGACTAGACCATGTCACTAGCAGGTAAAATAGAGCACAAGCTCAATCATAAACATGAGTCTCACTGGGCGGTGGTGGCGCACGCCTTTAATCCCAGCACTCAGGAGGCAGAGGCAGGCGGATCTCTGTGAGTTCGAGGCCGGGCTGGTCTGACAGCCTCCAAAACAATACAGAGAAACCCTGTCTCGTAAAACAAAAAAAAATAAATAAAAATAAAAAAGATGAGTCTCATCACTTTGGACATGTCACACTAGGATCTACAGTAGTTTACTAAAGGAATGTTTTCAATGTGTTTAAAGAGTTTTTCCATTTCATTACAGTTATAATCTTACTGGTTATTTCACACACCTGTATCTTTGTACACATCTCTGATAAAATTATTTTTTGTTTTGATTTTTTGAGACAGGGTTTCTCTGTGCTAACAGCCCTGGCTGTCCTTGAAGTTGCTTTGTAACCCAGGCTGCCTCCACCTGCCTCTGCCTCCCAAGTACCAGTTGGTAGAGCATGAGATTCTTAATCTGAGGGTCATGGGTTCGAGCAACACACTAGGCACCAGATGTAGCACAAATAATAAAATCCAGAGACAGATATTGGGGCTAAAACTGAAGATCAGAAAACAAAGCAACCAGACACTTGAGAATTCTCACCTCCGGCAATGCTTAGACCAAAGGGGAGATCCTGTCCTCAGACTGCATCTCCAGACTGCACTGCTCTCCACCAAACCTCACTCATTTCTGCCTAGACTGCACCTCTTTCTCTTGTCTCCTCCTGCCTTATATGTCTCTCTCTACCCAGCCATATTACTCCTGTCTCTATCCTGAGTAGTGGGATTAAAGGCCTGGGATCCCAGCTGCTGGGATCACCTTTGTGTGAGCTCTGTTTCTCTTTTAGATAGATTAAATCTTGTGTAGCCTAGGGCAGCCTTGAACTCACAGAGATACATTTGCCTCTGTCTCCCAAGTGCTGGGATTAAAGGTGTGTACCACAACTGGCTGGCCTCTGTGGCTAACTAGCATGGCTAACTTTGCACTCTGATCTTCAGGCAAGTTTTACTTCTTCCGTCATAAACAAAATACCACCACAAGTGCTGGGATTAAAGGCATGCACCACCATGCCTGACCATCCATGATGAATTAACCAGGACCCTTTTGAGTGTGTTGATGCCACCTATACTACCATCATTATCTATACAAGGCAATGACTCTTCTAAAATGTCACTATGTGCAATGGCAGGGTTAGAAAGTAGGCCTCAAAGAGAAGAAACAAAGTGATTAACATCAGACTGGTGTGATTAGAAAGATGGGTCTTGACCAAAAAAAAAGCAGGGAGGCACACTGGTAGATACACTCCATCCCACAAAGACTGTGTTAAAAATACATGCCAAAAAAAAAAACTGAAAACCTTGGATGGTTACCCTCCAAAGGTCACTGTAATGGCTGACACTTGAAAGATGAGGTTATTAAGAGAATGTGATGACACAATAAAGGTCTCAGAACTCTGAAGCCTCCAATAGTGTGCCAAGAGCTCACAGGTGAGTGTGAAGCCAGCCATGAGTCTGGAAGGACACGTGAGGGGAACTGTGTTCTCGCTGGCCTAGCTGACTGCACCTTATACCACATTGCTGATCACTGGCTCACTTGAAGACAGCACTGCAGGTTAGAAGAGGGTCTATCCATCTTTGTTGTATACTGAGTGACATAAGAGGGTTAAACATTCATGTCAAAACTCACTACTCACTACTTTAGTCATAGAGTTCTGTGGCTCACAGGGTTGTGGAAAGGACACCACTGTCCATCTTCCCCAACTGATATGCTGTCCTCGTTGAATGTGATTTCTCCCTTCTCACTGCCCTAGCCCCTAGCCACACCACTGCCCCAGGGAACCCTTAGTGAAATCACAGAGCACTTAGCCTTCTGTGATAGTATTATAATTTGGATATGATCTGTCCGGGCAAAAAGCTTACGTGTCTCTAGGTCCCTAGGCAGCAGTACTTTTGTGGAAGGTTCTGAATACTTAAGAATCGGGTCATAGCTGAAGCAAGTAGACACTGATGAGGGTGACTTTGAAGGCTTTACTTCATCCCTGGTCCCCTCTGTCTATTTCCTGTCATCATGAGGTGACTTCCTGCCTAACTACACACTCGACTCAACACAGCCAAGGTCTATGGGCTCCTGAAACTAGCCAAACCAAATTATTCATCCCTTTAATTTGTTCTCTTAGGTATTTGGTCACACAGAGGCTTTGTGCTGCGACATTTCAAGTTAATGTTTATTTTTCAACATTTCCATGTTGTGAAAGGTACACATTCCCAGCCTGATGATCACATTAGCCTCATGGGTGATTTCCATGTTCCAGTATCCTGTCTCTTAGATTACGTGCTCTAAAACCAGGATACCTGAACATCCTCATCACTTGGGATAGGCCTCTTTCTGGAAAGGGTTTGTTAAATACATTAAAACCTCCCTGGATTTCACTATTTGTTTGACAACATTTATGATACCATGTTCTAAGCAGCCCTCCTGGTTCTTCTGGTCTCAAGTGTCATACATGGCCCTTCGACTACTCCACTGTGCTTTGAATTCTCTCACCATTCTTTCCCATCTGACTGAACTCAGGGTCCTTAGAACATTTGATTACTTTGAAGTTCGGGGCAAGAAGACCAGGCCTGGAATGCACAGATAGTTTATTGAATCTGTACTGTTGTCAGTTGAGCAAAATGTTACCTTTCTAATGGGTAAAAGGGAAACCAGTTCAAATCCACTCTGAGCTATGTAGTAAGTCTGAAATCAGTGTGGTTGTCTCAGTTAGGGTTACCATTGCTGCACTAAAACACCTTAACCAAAAAGCAAGTTGGGGAGGAAAGGGTTTATTTGGCTTACACTTCAGCTTTGGTATTCATCACTGAAGGAAGCCAGGATAGGAACTCAAACAAGGCAGGATCCTGGAGGCAGGAGCTGATGCAGAGGTCATGGAGGGATGCTGTTTACTGGTTTGCTTCACATGGATTGCTCAACCTGCCTTCTTATAGGACCTAGGGCATCCAACCCAGGGATGACCCCACTCACAATGGGCTGGGCATTCCGCCATTGATTACTAATAAAGAAAATGCCTTGTAACCAGCTCTTATAGAGGTATTTTCTCAACTGAGTTTCCCTCCTCTCTGATGACTCTAGCTTGTGTCAAGTGGACATACACTGGCATATGTAATTAGGTCATATGTCAAGTCAGACAAACAACAGAAAAGACAATGGGTTCCTGAACCACTTAGGGAACTCTAGACCCAGTCTGGGTACCTTTCAAGACCCCACCTCAAAATGAAAATTTCAAAAATGTTGGGAATATGATTCAGTGGTAGAGCACTTGCCTAGATTGCATAATTCCATAGCTTCAATATTTACTACCAATTGACTTAGAATTTGCAGTTAAAGAGAATGATGTTTATTAATATAGTTGCTGTGAGACTTGCTCTAGCCATTTCAAGTAATTTCCAGCAACAGCCTTCAATAGTCCCGCCTTCATGCCCCATCTACGGTATTTCTTTTTTCTCTCCTTCTGTTTGGTTTTTTGAGACAGGGTGTTTAACAATCCTGACTGTCCTGGAACTCACAGAGATCTGCCTGCCTCTGCCTCACAAGTGCTGGGATTAAAGGCGTGCGCCACTTGGCTGTGCATTCTGACCTTGCCATTCAGCACAGGCCTCGGACACATGGTGGCATTCCCTCTCATCATTTTTTCAAACTTGGACTTTTTCTTTTGGTTGACTTAGGAGTTCCTTAAAGGACTTCTTTCACCCCCACTGCCCCCAGCAACCATGTGGCTTCATCTCTCCATGTGCTCCTCTGAGGTATGTGTTGACACATCTTACCACATTAGCTCCTGGAGAGATTGGCTTCAGTCGCTGACACATAGGAGTCATGCAACAAGCTCCATCTATGGACAAACAAAGGGTTATTAAAGGTGAAACCATGTTACACCCAAATGCCGCTTCTTTAAGCAATGGAAATGAGGATGCCTTCAGATATTTCCAAGAATTATATTCTATGCGATTTGTAGATTGTTAACTTCAGGGAAATGAATTCCCTTTTGTCTCATCTAGCAGTCCATTCCTACCGCTTTCTCCCCAGAGCACCAGAAAGGGCAGATGCTTGGAGAGTATCAGAAAATAAACTCTACAAAACACATTTTAGAGTAAGGGGTGCAGATCAGTGATAGAGCATTTGCCAAGCAGGCACAAATCATTAAGTTCTAGTAGCATTTCAGTTGTGAATTTGAAAGGGATAAAGTCACCTGGAAGGGTTTGGAGAGGGGAGGAGAGGTACAAATTATGTAAATACAGTACTCATGTATGAAAGTCTCAAAAGTATTTTAAAATGTTAAATAAAAAGCAACAGGGTAGCCAGGCACTGGTGGCGCATGCCTTTAGTCCCAGCACTCGGGAAGCAGAGGCAGGCGATCTCTGTAAATTCGAGACCAGCCTGGTCTACAAGAGCTAATTCCAGGATAGGCTCCAAAGTTACAGAGAAACCCTGTCTCGAAAAAACCAACCAACCAAAACAAAACAAAAATCCAACAGGGTTAGAAAGATGGTTCAGCTTTTAAGAGCTACTATTCCAGAGGATCCAGGTTCAATTCCCATCACCTACATGGCAGCTCACAACTGTCTGGAACTGTAGTTCCAGAAGACTAAGTATCCTCACACAGACATACATACAGGCAAAACTTCAATGCACATAAAATAAATAAATCTTAAAAAAAAGAAAGCGACAACAAGCAAAAACAGTAATAAAAAACCTCACACAGGCCAAGCATGCTGGTGCATGCCTACAGTCCTAGTACTCAGGAGTCTGAAGCATGCAAACTGTCTTGAGTGTGAAACCAACCTGGGTCACAGGGTAAGTTTCAGAGAACACTAGTCAGTTCACCATGCTAGTCAGACCCTGCTCCCACCAAGAAAAGCACCAAGCAAACAACAACAAAAATGTGATAGATTTTGAACTTAAAAATGGGGGGGGAGTAGGGGATGTGTCACCAGTAATTCCAGGATTCAGATACATCTTATTTTGTATCTTCCCAGCAGGTTTCATGATAAACAAAACAAAATAAATAATCATGATCATACTATAGTATGTACTTACTATTCTCTCTCCATTTTAGATTATTACTTGGTTCCCAATGGTCCTCTGTTTGACACATAATAAGTGAAGAAGTTTACTTCAGGTAATGTACAACAGAGAACTGTATATATTTTCCAGAATCACATAACCATATATTACATATGAAATTATTAATTTACTTGTTATTCATCTGTTTATTCATTTATTGATAGGTGTATTGGTTTTGTAGAGGCAGGATGTCATTATGTAGTCCTTCTGGTCATGAGCATCACCACTCTTACAAATAATGCTATGATGAGCATCATTATGGGTAAATATTTGTGATCAAATGTCACTGTGTCTGGGCACACAGAAGTGGGACTGTTAATACCAAGTGTAACAGGTCACACCTCTATAATCCCGGCACTCAGGAGGCAGAGGCAAGCAGATCTCTGTGAGTTCAAGGCCAACTTGGTGTACAAAGTGAGTTCTGGGACAGCCAAAGCTGTTACATAGAGAAACCCTACCTTAAAAAAACAACAACAACAAAAAAAACAAAACCACAAAACAAAACAAAAAACAAGGTAGAACTGTGTGTGCTGTCAATAAATATGGCCCTTCTGAGTTTGCTCAGACCATGCTCATAATAGCACATCCTCACTTTCTCAAACATAACTGATTCTTCCCTCCCTCTTGGGAGTTGTCCCCCCAGGGAACACTGTCCTAGGCCTAAGGAAGACCTAAGTGCCCCCCTTATGATGTACTGTGTTTCTTTGCAGTTGTCACGTGTTTGCTGTCACCATGCTGTTGCTCAGCAGAAGTGCTAACTGTCAAGTCGGAGGATTTGCTTTGGTATCCATAGGATGGATCCTTTGCAGCATCTCCACAGGCCTGCCTCAGTGGCGAGTGTGGTACTTGAATGAAACCATGTTATCTGAGCCTTCCATCGCCTTTATAGGAATGTGGAGAGTTTGCGTTTACAACCAAACCATCAAGGCCGGCAATGCCAAAGAGTGTCATGAATACACCTACCATGACAGCTTTGTGCCTTGGAATATGCGTATCATTCAACACTTGTTACTGGCCTCCAACATTTTCGGGTTATTTGGGATAGTTGCCACCATTTTTGCTCTTCGGAATGTGTACACAGGGAAAGTAACAAAGAATGCCACCTACAATCCGTTTGTCATTTCTGCCTTTGTCAACATCATTGCCAGTACCTTCGTCCTCCTTGCTGTCTTATGCAATTATTTCTCTGTCATTCACAAAGTAGGAATTTCCTTCCCCTCATCTTTCCATATACCTTTATATCCACCTAATCAGAGAACTGGAATTGCTAATGTACTGGCAAGTCTAGCTGCCCTCATGTTTTTAGGCAGTGGCATTATTTTCCTTTCATACGCTTCTCCTGTGGAAACCCAAGTATATCCTGACGTTTGAAAATCTAGTTACAGTTTACATCACCTTCCAATTTCCGGGGATTATAGCAAGGGTTCTTTTGGTTTTGTTTACCCTTTGCTTTTATATACCGACCACAGCTTCCCTTCCTCTTCTCCTCCCAGTCCCTCCCTCCACCTCTCCTCTTCTCCCTCCCTCCTTTCCTCCCAGTCACTCCCACCCAAACTCAGGTCTTCATCTTCCCCCTCCCATCCCCTCCTGTTCCTCTGTTTCTCTTTAGAAAAGGGCAAGCCTTCCATGGATACCAACCAGCTATGATATATCAAGTTATAGCAAGTATTTTTAAGCCATTTATATAAATTTTCCAAGGACTGAAAATCACACCCAAATAGTCCATGACAAAAAAGGGCCAAGTTGGCCTTCTATTTTCTGTCTTGTTTCCTTATTTCATTGGTCGGACAATGGACTTTTGCTAAATAAAATCTTGTTCACTCGCTGATTTTGTGAGATTTGAGTTTTGACTGTTGTTGGAAAAGGTAAATAATAAATAAACACACTATACATGAAAATTAATGTTGGAGTTCACTAATCTCTCACATCACTCTCTGAATCCAAGGGAGAAACAAAAGCAGGCCTGTGTCCCCTGTCATGTTAATACTATCTTTGTAATGTTTTCCAAATCTCGTGTATACGTTACAAGATTTAGCACATCTGATGTTCTACGACTTTCCTCCTTCCTTCTGCCCATCTTTTCCCAAGGTGATTAAATTCTGTGTACCACATCCTTTCATCCCCATATATTACAATATTACTCTCTAAAAATGGGCATTCCTCGTCTACCCATATCATGCCTTTAAAGGCTTAAACATCTTTTGTTATCAAGCCCCAAACTTCAATCTTGGTTTGGTGACATTCCTGGCAATATATATTTTATCCATACACTCAAGACACTTTTGTTCTCTAATGATTTTATTATATACAGAGGCAGAGCAGGCTCAGTCAGTAGTGGCTTCTTTCCTTACGGTAACCATGATGCTGCTCAGGTTTTTATATGGGTGAGACGCTTTCCCTCCCTCTCTTCAAGGGCTTGTTTTTCTATGGAGACCTAGACTAGCTCCATAGTGCATCATTCACACAGTATTATGTAGCATATCTTTGTGAGCATGCTCTCCACATAATGCATTTGGTGACTCACCTCTGCATGTAATTATACCTTACCTTGCTCACATTCTTGGCAACCTGTGGGTCTTGTTCCAGGGATGATGGAAAGAGGGAAGCTCCAAGTCCTGCCTGCAGCAGTAGAAGATGCAATACGCATTTTGAAAGTATAAAGGTCGTCCTCTACAACATAGTCTCTATCACAGCATTCCTTTTTTTACTGCCTCCTAACCTTCCTTTGGATTTGGTTTGTTTGGAGACAGGATCTTACTATGCCACACAGAGTGGCCTTAGACTTGCGAATTATAGGATAGATTAAATATAAAGCAAATTTATATTTATTAACAGAAAGATGCTCCATGAAAGAGAAAGATAGAGTGCACCCAATAAGGATAATGTGGGAATCTCAAGGGAGTATCAATAACCTTTTTATTTTTTACAATGAGTATATAACAGTGGTTCTCAACCTGTGAGTTGTGAACCCTTTGGCAAACATCTTTCTCCAATAAAAAATTTATACTACAATTCAACCAGTAGCAAAATTACAGTTATGAAGTAGCAATGAAATAATTTTATGGTTAGGAAGTTACCACACCACGAGGAATTGCATTTACGGGTCACAGCATTAGAAAGGTTGAGAACCACTGGTATATAGGGATTTGGGTGGCTCTTAATTTACATCTCTAAAGGTTGATAAGAAACTTCCCTATTTTCTAACATTGCCCAAAGAGTGTAATTTGCAGCAAGGCCAAAAGATAGAAGTTTTTCACTAAACTAAGTTGTAAGGTGGATTTATGAGGGGTCATCATTAAGGTCTAGAAGTTGGGAGTATTATGAACATAAGGTTATATATCATTTTAGCTCTAAGTAAGCACAGCCAAATTACTGTCCTGCATACTTTATTAAAGTATCTCTGAGTACAAGCCATCTGGCCCTAAGTGAGCACAATGTCACCATAATTCCATATCATTCTATCTTGCCTCCATTTAAGATGTTTGGTACCTTTTACATATAGTAATATGTGACTTATGGTATTTGTGCATTATTGACACAAAAACACAGCTCTCACTTTTAAAGGAGTAAGAGATAGTTTATTCTGGAACCAAATATGAGTGACCGTAGTCTAGAAACATGGACTCAAATACCACGATCCCAAAGTTTTTATCATTACACAACAAAAGAAAGTAATAGATCATGGCACTTTTTAACTTTTTCAAGACATTAAAACAAAACAAAACATGACTGAAAGCATCAAGTAGCTGATTTAAAGCAAAATAAAAAAGAAAACACACTTTACTGTCGGCCTCCTACATTTGCCTTTGGTTTGGTAGAAGCCAGTGGTCTTTTTGTACATTCCAAAGAATAGTGGTCAAACAGAGGTGAGTGGTGATAGCTATAAAGGGAGCTGTACATTGCCCAAAATGATCTGGTTGTGGACAACCAACATCTCAACTCTCCATGATCATGGAAATAAGTTCTAACAAGTCGATGAATACTGTAGAGCCTTAAACAGTTATTTTTTTTCTGTCTGTAATCTTCACTTTACCCTATTAGTGCCTCAAAACTACAGTTCTTAAATATTTTGTGCCTAGATTAGTCGGCATTCTCCAGAGACAAGACTATGGTGATTTGAATGAGAACCAGATGTAGTTCTGTTTGGGGAGGTTATGAACCATCTAGGAGGTAGAGCCTTGCTAGAAGAAGTACATCATTGGGGTGCAGGCCTTGAGGGTCTATGGCCTTGTCGTATGTCTGCTCCCTCCCTATTTCCTGTGTGTGGATGAAAATGTGATCAGCCAGCTTTCTGTTCTTCCTGCTTGCTGCCATGCCTTTCTTACCATTATGGATGCTCCCTTTGGAATCATGAGCCAAAATAAACCTTCTATAAGTTGCTTGTGGTGTGGTCATGGTATTTTAACACAGCAACAGAGAAGTAGCTAATGAAGAAGATGGTACCAAAGGCGAGTTGTTTCTGTGAAGAACACAACCATGTTGTTTTGGGGGGGAAATGTGAAATACTTTAGATCTTTGGATTTGAAAACCAGTTAAATGTTGTAAGTAGAGAGTAGTGCTGAGAGTAACGGGATAATGGAGGTCCAACTTGTGAAGTTTCAGAAGGGAGTAAGGGCTCTCTCTATTCACAATTGGAATAGAAGCTATTTATGTGATATTTGGGCAAATAGTACAGTCAAATTCTCCAGTATCTGAAGAACTTGCCTTGGGTTACATTAAAAGATAGTGAGCGTATTTGGCAGAGGAAATTTCACATAATATGTAGTTCATGGCATGGTTATTACTGATTCCTCTTAAATCTACAACACAATAGCAACAAATGGAGCAAAAATGTGCAGTTTGGAGAAGAAAAGAACACTAGAATGTTTAATGTTATGGCAAAGTCATGTGTCAAAGAAACTGCAATTTTTTTTTCAGATTAGATAATTAAAGGGACTCTAGGATCTCTGCCCGAGGGGGCACTGTAACTTATATAGCCCAAGGAATTCTGGGACTGCTCACATATGCACAAGGGGCTCTACCACTTTTACTGTCTGCTGAAAGGGCTAACTTGCACATACACACAAGGATCTCTATGACCTTCCTTTGCTGCTCTGGGACTGATCTATACAAGGGGAATTAGTACTTTCCTCATCTGTCCAACAGGCTTTAGGAACTTCCACATATACAGAAGGGCTCTAGCAATCTACCTATATGCTTAAGGGACTCTTGGAATTCTCACATATATGCAAAGGGATCCATGGCTTCTTTAGTATGCCCAAGTGCCTCTGTAACCTTCCCTATCTGTTCATCAGGCCATATGGGATGATTCAAATCTGCATAAATGGGTTTCAGATCAATCACTTCTCATAAAGGGGACTAAGACACTCACCATTCACCTAAGCGAGAGCTGTTTTATTTCTACTAAAAGGAGCATGAAACATGTTCCCTATGACAAAGGTAGCTTCAGAACCTCCCACATTAGACCAAGTGGACTCCAAATCTACCTCTTCTGCTCAAATCTTTCCTTCTTAAAAGAAAGAGCTGAAGACCCTATCACTACTTCCCAAGGAAGACATACTTTTCATATCTGCCCGAGGGGGCCTGAAACCTTCTACATCTGCTCAAAGGGCTCTAGAACTATCCACATCTACACAACAGGGCTTGACAATGATCACTTCTCATGGATATGTCCTCAGACATTTCCCCTCTCCCCAAGTGGGCCCAGACATTCTAATTCTAATATCCAATGAAGATTGAAACATGACCCCTTTGTACAAGAGGGATTCAGAACATCCCCATTGGACCAGGAGGACTTCAAACCTTCCCCATTGCTTCTGTCAAATTGGGGGAAGGGGTCTCAGATCTTCTTCTGCTAAAATAGTCCTGAGATCTGCCACTTCTCAAGGGCGCCTTACACCTGCCACATCTGTGCAAAGAGGTCTCAGTCACTTTTATACTACCAAAGAGAGCTTGAGACATTTTCTTTCTGTCCAAGGAGCTTCAAACACTCCATCTCGGCAAAAGAGAGGCTTCCCATTCTGCCCAAGAGAGCAGCCAGCAATCTCTTACTAACAACCAGGGCCTCAGAGTATTGTACTCTGGCGTAGAGAGCCAAACACCAACCTCCTCTTTCCACAAAGACCTCAGATCTACCAAGGGAGACACAACCATCCATTTTCCATCCAACAAGGCATACTCCTCACCAAGCTAAACTAGCATCTTCCCTTCCATCCAAGGAGGACTAAAAAAGAGAAAGCTGAGATCTGCTCTCTCTTACCCAGGGGGCACCAATCCCTCCCACAACAATCAAGAGGGTCTCAGACTTGCCCCTTATCGATTAGGAGGCCACAAATATTCCTACATTTTCCAATACAGTCTTCAAAAAAACTCTACTGGGAGATGGGACATGGAAACTTATCTTCTATCCCCAAGGAGCCTTCAGACATTCTCCTTCCAATCAACAGGGACTTGGGCTTTCCTACTCTTATGAAGGTGGCATCAGATATAAGCCCTTTAATAAAAGGGGGCTCAGATTTCCCCACTCTAGACAAGGAGGCCTTAGACTTGTCCCTTCTAACAAACTGGGCCTCAGACATGCTCTTTGTGACCAAGAGGAGGGCATTCAGAAATTTCCCTACTTATCAAGGGTGGATCAGACCTTCAACTTCTGCCCAAGGGGGCCTCAGACCATCCTGTTCTACCTAAGGAGGCCTCAGATCTTCCCACCCTGTCCAGTGGGGACCTGCATGGGTTCTACTCAAGAGGGGGTGTCTGTGACCTATTCTCTTTTACTGAGGGAGCTTCAGATCTTCTCCTTCTACCTCAAAGTCTTCAGAATTTTCG